GGAACTCTGTTTTGTTTAGCTTTTCTCTTGAATCACTCTAAGGTGTGAAGCATTAGATATGGCTCTGATATTACTGATAGCCCTGATTTCCTCTATAAAAGCAATTGGCTAGCTAAGGATTTTTGGAAACTATTCAGTATTATTTAAAAAAATTTAATGGAATTCTTGTGTTTGTGTATGGTGTTTTTCATTGTGTCAGTTTAGACGTGTCCCACAGCATACAGAAGTTAATGCAAACTAATGCCAGACTTCATTCTTTTTATGTTATTGTTGGGTTTTATATTGTATAGAATCACTGAATGGGTTGGGTTGGAAGGGACCTTAAAGTTCCAGACCTGGGCATGGATGCCACCCACTAGACCAGCTTACTCAAATCCCCATCCAGCCTGGCCTTGAACACTTCCAGGATGGGTCATCTACAGCTTCTCTGGGCAACTTGCCCCAGTGCCTCACCAAACTTTACAGTAAATAATTTCTTCCTAATATCTACTTTAAACTTACTGTCTTTTAGGTTAAGGCCATTCCCCCTTGTCCTATCACTACACACTCTTGTGAAAATCCCTCTCCATCTTTCATGCAGGCTCCCTTTAGGTACCAGAAGGCTCCTCTAAGGTCCTCCTAGAACCTTTTCTTCCCCAGGCTGAACAGCCCCAACTGTCCTAGCCTGTGTTCATATCAGAGGTGCTCCAGCCCTCTGATCATCTTCCTGGTCCTTCTCTGGACTTGTTCCAATGGGTCAATGTATGTTTGTGTTTACAGAAGCCCAGTATAACCCATGAAGAGCTACATACTTATTTGTATGCAGATTTAATAAGCAGATTATTAAATAAAGTGTCATTTTGTTATGTGGTTCTATGATTTTCAACAGAGAAGGACCAAGATCAGTGCCTGGGATAGTTAGGTATTAGAGCAGTGCAGATATAGAATAAGAAAACATTCACCAGATTTTGGAGAATGCAGTGAGTGCAGGATAAATCCAGCACTTCAGTGCCTGTTGAATATTTTATATTCTGTGCTACTTAAAAGAAAATTATCATCACTGATTTATGTCTCCTTGTTCTGTTTATCTATATGTTTTAAGTTTATGGCTGCTGCTTCACTTCTAATAATAAGATTTTAAAAAGCAAAAGGGTAATTTGCAAATAATAACTTCTCATTGCTATCTCCAATAGGGAGAAACTTGGACAACTGCTCCAGGGTTTAGGAAAATTCTTGTCCCAAAAGTCTTTCAGATAGTGCTATGGCAAGGGGATTCCCCTGGGTGTCCCTGTCACTGGCAGCTCTTTTTTTAGGGCTGTTAGTTTTTCTGTGAGGCTTCGGTTGAGGGCTGCAGGCCCTTGTGCATGTGGTTAACTTCCCAATGCTATTTTTGGGGACCTGATTAAAACTGTCAGACCTTTCAGTTAGATTTCTACTTTTTTCAGGGGAATTTGTGAGGATTTAGCAATTTTAAAAGGTCAGGTCAGGCATGCATAGAAATACTGACTTTATGCAAGCAGTTAACATGTCAAGTGTTTTAAAATTACACAGGTGGAAATTCTGTGAAAGTGTGAAGTATTTTATTTATTTATTTTGTCTAATATTTATTAGACCTGAGATAAAATATGAGGCAAGACCTGAGATAAAACATTTTATTCTTTATGATAGTTTTTAAATAGAAAAATTCTACTAAAACAGAGACTCCTCACAAACATTTCACAAGACAATCGTCAGCCTGTACTGCTTTTCCTTGTTTGCTCCTGCAATGCTGCCAGGGTGTTGGTGCAAAGGTACTTCTGCCTCACAGGGAGAAGTTTTGACTTATTTAGCTGTGTTTACTGAGGAACTACTGTGTTGCCAGGAGCAGGAGTGGCTTCATGTGGTTTTAATTGAGAAGTGCAGACCAGGAAGAACTGCAGGGATTAGGGCTGTGGGTGAGAGCTTCTGTTTACTCAGTAATTCCCTAGCAATCAGCAGCAATAACAAAGCAAACACTGAAAAGATATATGATAGAAAAAGTTTTAGAGTTCAGTTTCTTATCCAAACTAAAGTCAGTTACCAGCCTAGCCTGTGAAAACTTTTATAAACAATTTCTCACTTGTGAAACCTCATGCATTAAAATACAACCTCCACTTTCCTGAATTTACAATATATTAAACTGATGAAGAAGATAAATTATGATGGACATTTATAATAATTCCTTTCTATTTTTGATGGGATAAAAGCTGACGCTGTCATGTTTGCTAATCAGAGACCTCCTTATTAGTTCCAAGGTTGGAATATCTTTTCCTTGCTGATGTCAAGGAGGTTTCCTCACAAAGTCCAGTTCCTCATAATGCCTTACCTTTGGTGACTAAAGCAAAGTATCTGTTTAGAGAAACTCTTGGCAAATGTTACCTGTTTCCAGATCCCACCATTCCTACTCTTGAGATTATATTTCCTTCATTTGTGTTCTGGAGAAAGCATGACCAGGACTTGGAGTCTCCATGCACCAAGTACAAAATCTGATGTCAGTGGGACAGGCCATCAAGAGCCTTTGTTTTGCCTCTTACTACTGAGAATAGCCTTTACACTGGCAGCTGACAACAGCTTAGCTTTTGAACTTTGTACCCAGTGATTTTTTGTGGATAAGTGTTGTTTCCTATGTTTAAAAAAAGGTAAAGAAATCCCAAACAAGCAAACAAACAAACAAACAACTTGCATACAGCCTTATACTCAGAAAAATAACTTTCTGGTTGAAGCTTTCAGCTCCAGTTGAGTTTGACCTCTATAGAAACAAATTGTCATATCCTGGTGAATACTAGGAAACAACCAATACTGCTGTAGATAGCAGAAGAATGGGGACAATCAGGAATTTGGTGTTCCTTCTTAGGCTTCAGAGGGAATTGCAATATAGGGTCATGGGCTTTACTTCTTTAAATGGAATTATTTAGCCCATCCTTTCTGACCTCTCCCTGTCCATTCTGTTGTCTTCACTACACCTACTTCCTTTTTTTTTTTTTTTCAGTCTTATTGAAGATCCATTCTGTAGGATTCTTATTTTAGCATATGAGTATCTGCCCAGACAGTCTGTTGTTTTAGATCTGGAGATTTACAAAGTGTTTCCAGAGGAACTGTAGGTCACTTTAAAGGGACTACAAGACTGTGAACAATGTAATGTTTCCTAGCTACACATGATGGATCTGTCAAAGCAGGTAACAAAGCAGGTAGGGTGTGTAAACCTCTTATGCAAACCACTTCTGTTAGGGTAGGAAGAAGGTATTAAATAATTTTCTTGTGAGGGAACGAAGTTTTGGAGACTTCACATTTCTCAAAGAGTGCAAATAAACTACTCATTAGAAGACAAGATGGAGGTGCTCACCAGCTTCAGCTGCTGAAATATATGACCTCTCCTCTTTTTTTTAAGGTAAGTAACGAATGTCTGGTCCTTGCCCTGGAAGAGCTGGAGCAAAAAACCTAAAGAGGTGAAGCAGACTTTGTATTTTTGCAGCTGTCTCAGCCATGCCAGTCTCAGGGAGAACCATGCAAGCTGTAGCAGTGTTATTTTATCTTTTTGAAATAAACATTCTTTTGAACTACTTAAACATCAGGTGGTTTTTTAGTGATCTCTTTGTTTGGAGTTTTTTCCACATACCATTTGTTTTTTCCTTTTTCCTTCTGTTATCTTCATTTCCTGCTTTCTGCAGTCATCTTTGATCATGAAGCACTTTGTCTGAATTTAAAGGCTGAAGATTTAGTTGAAAGACAAACACATTGACAAATGCTTCTAGTGGTGAATGGGTTTGGGTTCTTATTGTATTCTGTTTCTGTTTGTCTGATTTTAGTTGTGAGAGAGCAGGCAGTACATCTAAGCCCTTTTAGCTATCAAAAATATTGTGATTTTATAGGGAGGTTGTATTGCATGTATCCTAACACTATTTTATATGCATATTTATGTGTATTTGTATATTATTTTACATATATAGTAATACATAAAAATATATAGATATGTTTTACAGTTTCTGAAGTCTGAAGATACTCTACATTCAACCTGGGCTAAAAAAAGAATCTATTGGTTGACAAGGAAAAAAAGAAAGAAAATAAACTGCAGGATTTCCTATGTCAGCATGATACATTTGTGCATGGTAGTTTTTATCACACATCCCTAACAGGGATTTTGGAATGGAGGGCATGGAAGCAGACACTTTAAAGGAGGAAGACCATATGTCACAGAAGATTATCAGTGATCAGTACCATCTTCCAGTATAGTTGAGAAGGTCATACTTTCTTTATACCTGGAGTGGATTGATGGTATGAGTGAGTCCTCCAGCAAGAACTGTCCACTTTCATACACTGAAGCCAGTGGTACGATGGACAACAGTAACGTCTCAACAGATAACTTGGGCCACAATCAAGCTTTTCAGCATACAAGGCAACTATATTATTCAACCAACTCTGGTTTTTTTCCTCAGAAGTTGAATTCCAGTGTAATCCAGGCTGGAATTCATGATGCAAATGACACTTCAGAAATGTTCACTCCTCCTCTGCTCCCTGCTTCAGAGCCTGGAATGAACCATTGTGCTCCCACATACAAAACCATGGAACAGGTTAGTTTGCTTTAAATAATCGCTGAATTTATAACTGCATATTTTGTATTTCTGATAATGGCACATCCTGTCCAGAAAGAAAGAATCAGTAGCTTTTGTGTCTGTGTTTAGATAGGAAGCTTTACTGGCAAGTACTGGGAAGTGTATCCTAATCATGTGTCTGATGCTGTTGCTCTAATGCATCCATGCAATAAAGTGCTTTTCACAAGAGACAGTTGATCAATTTTGCTCTTATTCATCTTCTTTTGTAGTTATTTCTATCTCTCCTTCTAGTAGAAAGGATTGCACATTCTGGCTCCACGTTCTCATATCTGTAATGGTTGTGGGGCACGTTCACTTTCTTGTTTTGTATGTCTTTCTATCCATCCTCTTCTCATGCCCCATGTTCTTTTTTTACACTTTTTTTTTTCATTTCTGACTTTTTCCTCTTCTTAGCTTTGATAAAGTGATGGACAGAAGTAACTCCACAATATCTCTTCCACTGAATGCTCAATATGCTTCTTATAAGATAGTAAACAATACAGTGCCTTAGTTGTATATTTTAAAGAAACACTTATGTTTCCAACACTGTTGAATTTAACACGTATATATGCTGGAAGTTCTCAATCCTTTCTCCACTGGATGTCTATATTATTCCTTGGTTGTTGAAAAAATAATCATGTAAGTAAAGCTGCAGTTAAAGATATCTTTTTGTGAATCCCAGGAGTCTGTTGCTTCTTTTCTTGGATGATGTAAACCATGTCATTTTGTTTAATGACCAGATTGTATCCTGTGATATTGTAAACTGTCAACAGCTGGTCATAAAATCTGATACTGTGTCTTAGGCATTCTTTGTTCTTTGATGCCTTTTGACATTTGACTATGTGAATTACTTGAACTGTTCTTAAAGATTCTGGTAAAGAAAAAGTAACCTTGGGCTTTGCTTTGTTACATGGTGCTTCTCAAGTAATACCGGACAGAGAGACAGTAGAGTGAAAATGCTGCTTACAGGTAGACTGCTGGAAAGATCCTGGCACAACAACAACATGAGTGTGTCTTTATGCTGTAAATTTTAGTTCTCAGACAGATCTGGTAGCTCACAATAAATAAATAGAAAAAAAAAGACCTATCACTTCCACTACTGATCTCTGGTAGTTCTTCTCAGTGGACAGGAACAGATAACAGAAAGAAGGAGTCAAACAGATGTAAACTAGGAAACTCAGAAAGTGAAGGCAACTTGATTAGATGTTTGCCTATGGGGAGGCAAGGGGCCTGCAAAAGGACTGAGGAATTTAGTCTAAGACAGTTATTCTTCCATCCTTTTGATGCTAATTTCAGACCACGCTTATATTTCCTCCTAATTGCATCTCTGTTCTGTGGATATTGATTTTCAAAAGCTCCTTTTCATCAGTGATACTGGCAATTTTCATTTATCCTATAGTTCAACAATGAAATGTTGAACATTGACACATTTTTAAGTTTTACAGTGAAGCTTGACCTGAGAGGGTCATCTGCTCTGATGCTGTTCTAAAACCTTCTTAGTGTGAAACACAGGTGGACACTTCCCTCCCTTTTGTTCTTTAGCTTCTGTGAGAAGGAAATCCCAGCACATAGACCAGAAAAAAATGCCGTCTGATATGAGACTGAGTAGCAAAACCTGGCAAGGCACATGCTGCCTGCACAGTGTCAGTGTACAAATTAATTCTGAGCTCTAAAATGGCGAAAGAATTTTAAATACAAATGTCTACTAGAAGCAACACAGACTTTAAGAAATACCTAACCCCAAAATCCAGATATGGTGATTCTTTCTGATTAAAAACTATTCAGCTGTGTAGTTTGATACTATATCCTCATGATATTTTCAGACTCCAGGGCAGCAGGACCAGCTGATGAAGCAGCAGATGGAGCAGTTGCAAAGGCTGGTGGCTGAACAGCAGAAAATCATTGCACTTTACAACCCAGGTACTAGGGGCATCCCTCCTGACACTGGTATCTGAACCTGCTGATGCTTGCACTCCAGCAAGCAGTAGTTCTTTAAAGAAAGAGAAGGCTTAAGAGTTGTTTTAAATGTTTGGGGGCTCCTCCTCTGGAAGGTGGGCTAAGACATTTGCTCCTTTACACACACTGCATACAAGCTGTAAACTCCAGAAAACACCTTCCCACTTTTTTATATTAAAATTTCAGGAGAACCTTTAGGTTTAATAGCAGACCTCCTGTATAGACTTCTATTGAAGTATAATCTTGAATGGTAATACATAAAATTACAGTATTGTGGTAAAAGTACAGGAAAGCTGAAAAATCATTTTTCTTCTGTACCTATAAATGAAAGTTCCAGCTTCTCATGGGTAAAAGAAGAGGAAAAAGTCAACACACCATGCTTCTGTTAATCGACTCTTACCTTTAATAGTGCAGCCTGTTCCTAACAGCATGATACAACTCATTGAACAGTTTCATTTGACCCGTGGCATTGCTAGAAAACACCATCTACTCAGCAAGCAGGAAAAGAGGAACCCTCACTCCTTCCCACCATGTCTACAGTAGTGGCACATTCTTCTCAGTGTGCAACCCCAAAGTGAAAGAAAAATTTAGGCAAATCACGTAGACTTGTGACAGCATTGTCCTGGCTTTAGCAGGGCTGCTTGTGCATAACATCAAGCAGGGAGCATCCACAATGGCATAGGAAGGCCAGATGATTCTTGGATTGCTGCTGCTTCTCAGATAACTTTCTGTGGAGGCAGCTTCACCTAATCTGCGTTCTAAGAGCCTAAGCAGCCTAAGGCATGCCCAGCCTCCATCTGTGCATTGATCTGGCATTGGTTTCTCAGCCTAATTTCAAGCTTCTTTGCTCAGTTGAGGAGCTGTGCAAGAATCCCATTATGCTAAGACCTCAGAGGAGAGTTAGGAGAACTAGGTGATGGCACCTTGCCTGCTAGAGTTCAGTGTAGCCTGAAAAGGTCTTACAAACAGCTTTTTAGAATTTAAAAACTATGTTTTTTTCAAAGATTTTTTACCATACATAGTATGACTAAGTCCTCTCAGACAACTATGTTTTTGCTGTTCCTCCATGCACATTATAAAACACCTCATAGCACATGTAGCTTGACCAATTTGGAAGAGTTTTATTTATTTCAGTTGCCATATAAGGAACATCTACTTTAACAAAGGTTCACTTAAAGCAATAGGCATTACTTTAGGCAAAGTAGTAATAACAAAACCACTAAGAATTTATGGCCTCTTGCTTTCCCCTCACCCACTATCCCAGACACTCTTGCAGTTGGCACTTGTTAGAAGCTTTAGGGAAATATGACCTTAAATTATTGCTTCTGTAAAAGAAAATGAAATTTTAGCAAGTTTAATCTACCTCACAAATAAATATAATAGCTGTTGTTAGCTAACAAAATAAAGGGGCTTTTCTTCATTCTCTCTCAGCCTCATGGGTTCAGAGAACCTTCTATAGGAATGACAAAATGTTCGATTGGATAAACAATGGACAACTAGATCCATTTGTAGTGAGTCAATAATTACAACAATCCCAGTGGAGGCAGAAAACCGGAATCCTTTATTGGATTCACAAGTTCATATTTAAAGGGTTTAGGATCTATATATTCAACAGGGGGTTGTAACTATTACAATTATTACAAACAGGGGTTTTCAGGGGATGACATAAGGGAAAAACCCAGGTTAACAAATTTGGAGTCTTAACAATTATATTATAGGGAAAACCCCATCTTATCTTAGGGGGATTACATGGGGGAAAGAGGTATTATTCTGGTTTGTAGAATGCACAGGATCCAGGGAACACAAAGGCAGAGATAAAACACAATACATCTTCTGCACTGGCTTGATGAAATCAGGGCATTGTTTCTCTGGACTTGGACAGGACTTTCCAAACCCGTGACATCAATGGGTCCTTGTCTGGACTCTAGATGGAGGTTTTTCCCCAGTCTCTGTTAGCCCAAGGTTTTTGTTTAAACCTAACAGTTTTCTTTTTCTCATATCCAAATTTTGGAATCCAACATTACACCATTGGGGTGCAGCAGGTGCTGGTGCTGAGCATGTTAACAGCAGCCTGAAAAGCTGTACGGCTGTCAGAGCTGCAGAGCGTGCATGGAAGCAGTAGATGTACACTGGGGTAGATGCACCAGGTAGGAAACAAGGGCCAAACACTGGTCATGCAGTGACCACTAAAAACCTGGCTTTCTGCAACTTAGGTTGTCTGTGTTGTGGGGTCTTTTCTGAGCTTCCTGATGATGCCAGCAGTGCAAAGCAATATGAGACTGAAGGGAATAAGACACTTGAGAAACAACACAGTGTCAGATCTGTTTGAAGGTCTTGTTTTCAAACTCGATGATGCGTGACAATCAGGGGTTTTGTTTGGGGGGGATAAGCAGGATCTCAACCATCCACCCTACAGCCAGAAGCTAAGCCACACCAGCAGTGATACCAACAGGCCTGGCTGTTGTTGTACTGATTTTCCTGATGGAGCTATGCCACTGTGAAATAGCTGCCAAGAGCAACTGCTGTATACTAGGGAGACAGCCTGAGAAAGAGAGAGAACAGAGGCTGTGGCTGCATAAATGAAATATTCATTATCCTGTTCTTTTTGCCTCAGAGAAGAGTCTGGTTGAAATGACAGGCAAATGCTCATCAAGCTGTCCGTGGTGACCAGGTGGAACAAGTACACAGTCTGTGGTTTCCAAGTTTTCTAATCAAAGCAGAACATCCACAGAGAAATTATGCTGCTCATTCATGGCTGGGCTTCGCGAACGAAGATTTGGGAAGGGCTCTACCCACGCTTGTTGCAAGCACACTGGTGGCTAAAAAGGCCAATACGAGATAGGCATGTCCGATTGCAAAAGGCACAGCAGAAGGACTCCTTAGATGGTGTATTCCGTAAGGCACGATTCTTTCTGCATTGTCTTTTCTCCTCAAGGGTGATCCTGCGTGCTTTCTCGAAAGCATCAGCCCTGCCCAAATACCACGATTAGCAAGGCGTTTATTATTACTTCCACCAGTTCACCAGGAGCAGAACCATTAGGCTGCACCACTTTTTTTGGGTTCTCGGGAAGAACTGAAGTGTGAGAAGGAAAAGTGCCTTGAGTCTGATATGGTTCATCGTGCAAACCTCTCTTCCCCCTGCCCCAGTTCTGTAAATCACTTGACACATTTCTGAAGAAAGTAAGTACAGTTAGTACCATGAATTCAAGACCAAGCTCATACAGTAAGAAATATGTTTATTGGATGCTATTTGGGTGTATTTGCATATCCAACTACATTTAGCTAATGTATAAAGCCATAGACAAAATGCTGACCTGAATGAAAAGCTGACCAAAATCTGCACTGGAAGCTCTTATTTGTTACTAGAGGCAGTGTAGATTGAGAGTAGCAAAAGACACTGCATGATTTGGTCCAATTAAGCTTTAAAGAAGTAAAATATGAAGAACTAGTTAGGCTATGATTTGTCTTATTATAGTAAAGGTAGTTGCTTTAATATTGCCATGCATTTAAACTAATACAGTGATCAACAGTAAAATCAAAACTTCATTGAACTACAGATTGTCATTTTATTCTCACATGGAACACAGGCAGAAGTGGCTCTGCCCACCTGCTAGCTGCATGGGTGAAGCGTCTGCCCAGAAGTAGCGAGTTGGGATCTTCCTGAGTCTGTGCCAGACAAGATTCAAACTCACGGATCAGCCTTTTTCCAAAAAATGCCTTAACTAGGGGTGAGGCATTTTCAGTCTCAGCCATTCTCTTTCTACTTACTGAAGTCAGGTCACAGGACAGAGAGGAATCTTGGTGTGAAGAAAGAAAATAAGAAGCGAATGTAATTTTGTAACCTTATAAAGGAGTTTCTTTCCCAGAAGTAGTGAACCTGGACTTTGGTCCCTGTGCAGAACTGCTTGTGTCTTTTCCACATAGTCTTCTAACATAATGCGTAACAAGCCATCCAGAGCTAAAAGGAAAACTTTCCCCTCTTTTGCATTATGATGTGGCTCAGAGATACTTTGCAGTACCTAACTTTTACCTCCTAATGGACGTAAGGAGTCCTAGGGGAAATGCTGGTTTTTTTACATGCTCGGGAGTACTTTGTATATTCTATTTAATTCACCATCCCTGTAGTATATGATAACTTTGGTTACAACTGGTGGTTGCAGCAAACTGTAAAATTTATTTTACAATTTAAATAAAATAACATAAACAGAATTTGGTTGTTTCATCCTGAACATGCAAACCACCGGTGAACATGAAAGCAAAGTGGGTTTTGTGCAATAACAGTTTAGCAAGAGATTTTTAGTTCAATGCAAAATATTTGTCTTAAGCTCCTCTAATTTTTCTTCTCTGGCAACTATTTTTAGGTTTATCTGTTTCTCCTGGGACACTTTCTCACCTAGTAGCCACGATGCCACCCCTTCCATGCTTTCCAGCTACTTTCATTCCTGTCCAGCTCCCATCAGGAAATTCTTGCCAAGCTGAGAGCCCGGAATTCTTACAGACCTCTCTCTTGGCAATGCACTCTGCTTGGCAAAGCAGATCCCCGGTATTCATGCCAAATGAGAGCAGTTCAGAAATCTCAGGAGAACATGTGCAGCTTTCAGATTCAGGTGGGTAAAAAGTGCTGGAAATCTAAACCTAAGTCTATTGTGCAACTCCTCTGAATTTTTGCCCTTACTAGTGATTGTTACTGGTTTTATTGTAGTTTGGGGAAGGTGCTTTGTTTTTATTGTGGCTTGTTATAAAAGCTTTTAAAGCATTTTAAACTTGACTTTTTTTTTAGTTTTTGAATCACAGTCATCCTGTCTCTCACACTGAATGAAATTGGACCTTGTGGATATAAATGGAATTACATTGGAAAAGCTAAGTTATATGAAGTAGGGAATATGTTGTATTCAGGGGGAGACACATAAGAAGTAGGATGTGGATATAGCTTCCAAAGGTGTGAGAATGTTCAGAGTTAAAACAATGTTAAGTTTCTACTTGGCATCTTCTCTTTGTCAGTGTTGTCTTCTGTGGGAAGATACCAAAGGGTTAGAAAGAATAAAAACAATTTTCAAGAAATCAAAAACTGATTTCAAAATGGGGGAAGAGGAACAAAAAGAAGTCAGAATAAAACAGCCTAAAAGGGAAGAGAATGTAAATTAGACAGGTATCATGAATTCATTTGAACTTCTATAACAACACCTGACTGTGATGCTGTGAGACAGTCCCATAGTACAACTGAAATTTTAATTTCATATTTTCCAAGACAGCTCAGGACAAGTACTCTCACGGATACAGTCTTGTCTCCTTCTTGTGCCTGAAACTATTATTTTATTGCTGGGTTAAACTGAATGTGGATCAATTGCCCAGTGAATTGCACAGAGCTTCAGAAATGCTTCTGCCAGTACAAATGAGGGGAGTGAAGGGGTGGTCTACGGGTGGATGAATCACAGAATCACAGAACCACAGAATAGTTAGGGTTGGAAGGGACCTCTGTAGATCATCTAGTTCAGCTCACCTGCCAAGGTAGGGTCACCTAGGGCAGGTTACACAGAAATGTGTCCAGGTGGGTTTTGAATGTCTCCAGAGAGGGAGTCTCCATGACCTCCCTTGGCAGCCTGTTCCAGTGCTCTGCCACCCTCAGTGTAAAGACATGTTGAGGTGGAACTTCTTGTGTTTATGTCCCTTACTCCCTGTCCTGTTGCTTGGCACCACTGAAAAGAGTCTGGCACCATCCTCTTGATACTCACCTTTCAGATATTTGTATGTATTAGTGAGATCTCCTCTCAGTCTTCTCTAAATTAAACAGGCCCATCTCCTGCAATCTCTCCTCATAAGAGAGATGCTTCAGACCCCTAATCATCTTTGTGGCCTTCTGCTGGACCCTCTCCAGTAGCTCCTTGTCTTTCTTAAACTGTGAAAACCAGAACTGAACACAATACTGCAGATGTGGCCTCACAAGGGCTGAAAAGAAGGGGAGGATCATCTCCATCAACCTGCTGGCCAGACTTCCTGATGTACCTCAGGATTCCATTGGTACTCCTGTCCCCAAGGGCACACTGCCAGCTCATGGTCAGTTTGTCATCCACCAATACTCCCAGGTCCCTTCAGAGCTGCTCTCTAGGTGGTCAACCCCCAACCTCAACTGATTTTGGGGTTATTCCTCCCCAGGTGCAATATCCTACACTTGCCTTTGTTGAACTCAATTGGGTTTCTATATGCCCAACTCTCCAGCCTATTAAGGTCCTCTGAATGGTAGCACGGCCTTCAGGTGTATCAGTCACTCCTCCTCAGATTTGTATCAGCAGTATTTTTGCTTAGAGTGCATTCTATCCCTTCCTCCAGGTTGTTGATAAACAAATTGAAAAAGACTGGACAACAGGAATATATTAGGACAGTGGGAGGTATGACTGCCTTTTTTTAAAGCAATGCTGACTTTGACCTGCCTCGTGTGTAAAACTAAGGCTTGAAGGTGCAGAGGCCTTAGTACATCAGGGTAACTTCCCACTGGAAGCTGGTCAGCGCAGTTGTCTTTGAGATATTCTTCAGTTGAATATGTGCTTGAGGACTAGGCTGAGCTGACAATTATCCAGCTGTGTGGGTTTTTATTGCTGGAAACACAAGCATAAGCATATCAATAGTTTGTATAACACTTTACATTCTTATTTAAAGGTATAAGCACTGAGCCTCTGCTTCAGTCTACAGAGAGTACCACAAAAAACCTTTCCAGACAAGATGCTCAAGAAGAGAACAGAAAAGAAAAGAAAGGTGAATTAAACAGCTGCTTGGATACATTGTTCTTGCCTTGCACGGGGAAGCACAAGTTGAAAATTACAGAGCTTAGGCATCTCTCCTTATTAAAGCATTCTGGAGACAGCACAACCCCATACCTAAGACTGTGGGAAGGAACATGTGGGTTCTGCATCCCTTGCTGCTGTCAACCTACTGTGTCACTTCTGACCCCTCTGCCATATTCTGGTGCAAGACAGGCAAGCAAGTTGCAGAAAGTGCACTGCTTGTCTGCCATTAGACTGGAGATGTTTGGTGTATAACTGAGAAAGTCTGAGGGATGAATATAAAACTTTTGTATTCCTGCTGTTGGACCAGAAAGTCCTTTCAGCATGCTGCAAAGGACTTCAGTAGCACTGGTTGCATTTATATGATTAAGTGAGCTATATAGTTCCTGCCTACAGCAACAGTTCATAGTATGAATGAGCAAATAAAGGCTTTCTGCTCCAGTTGTCAGTCCTAGCTTGACCTGAAGGAGAAACTCAACACTAGGTGACACTCAGAAAAAAAATTAATTGAAGTGGAAACCGGCTGCTTGTGGTGAACATACCCAATAAGCTTCAATAGGAAGATGCACAAATCTGCCTGATTAGAAAGTCTCGTGTACAAATACTGACTGTCAAACTGTTCAATGAACTGGTTTGCAAGTCACATAATTATAGATACATAAATAATTCAGTACAGTCTAGCAGTGCCTACACTGCCACATTCTGTGGTGAACACATTAAGCATGCATTACAAATCTCTAGAGATAAGGAGCACAAAACATACTATTTGTCCTTTCCATGTTTCCAGCACTAGACTTGAGGATGAGAAGCCTCTTTTTTTCACAGATTACATCCTTCCACCTACATAATTCAATTGTATTCTGTAAAATATTTTCAAAAATTAAAACCTTGCCTATGTTCCTGAAAATACAAATATTTCTAATTATTTTATGATATTCATTTTTCATTTATTCATTTTGTAAAGACTTTGCTTACACTGACCTTTTTTCTGCTGCTTAGATAGCAGTCAGTTAAAAGAAGGTTTCTCTGAAGCTTTTTCTGCTGCCAAAGAAGAACAAAGAGAACAACTAAAGGAGGAGATTTCCCCATCTCTCTTTGGCATAGAGGGGAAGATAAAGACTGGAAGCATAGAAGACAGGTGAGAAATGATCTTAGTCAGTCCATCAAGCTACAAAAACATATTTTCCTTGATTGTATATGTAATGTATGTGTTATATTTGCAACATGATGGTTCTTTCCTCTGCTTGAGAGTGGCAGATACGCATGGGCAGAAACTGGACAGGTCTAAGGCCTGTCAGTTGATCTACTTCTATGTAATAGAATGTTGGTCTAGCCAACTTAAATGAACTAGTTTTGTAAGTATGATCTTCAAAGGATAGAAGTAAGGCAAAGGGAGGGATAACATCCTCTGATGTGCCATTACTTCTGCGGTAGCCATCATTATGTGTTGGTAGCTCATTCATTCTTGTCCTTCCTCTGCCTCTTCAGCTGTGCTGAGACCATTTTTTATATGCCTGTATAGTTAACGAGTCAGCAAAGTAATCCTTGCTAAAATTATCTGTACAGAGGAGAAATGTAACATTTAACTTGGATCAGTTTTCTGATCTGGTACATCACTGCATTGCAAAAGGAACTGTACTAGGACACTGAGGGGGTGCTCACAATGAGGCAAAAAGGGGTAGGTTGGCATTGGTGATGGAAGAAATGCTTGTAGAGTTGTTACCTTTCCTTGACTGATGCAGATAGGAGCAGCAGGTCTTTGGCACACTGAAGCTTGATCAAGTATAAAACAGAAGTGGACAACTTCTAGGAAAGCACAGATGGAGAGTAATTGTCATGAGTGTGGGAATTGGACAGAGAAGGAAGACAAGGACCTCCAGATCAGAAGACTGGGAAGAGGTGGAAGGACAGTAAGCACATTTGGACAAATGGGCCTGTCCACATATACCTTTTTGGATCAGCAATGAGCTTCGGAAGTCTATCTCCCAGCCACCCCTACTTGTTGTGCTTTGGTTCACATTGTGTCGTTGGTATGAGCTGGATGAAACTAAAGTACAGAATTTACTCCAGCTGAATGTACTCCAGTTCTTCTTGACATTTTTACTGTGGTAACAGACTATAGTTGGTTTGAAGCAAACTTCCCTGAAATGAGTATTGTCTAATGTTGAGTCATCTTCAGCAACAGTTTTGGTCTATGGTGCATGATAACAGACAGAGACAGACTGACAAATGAAAAGATTATCCATGGTACAGTGGTGTTAGGTAGAGGTGGGGTATAGAAAGAACAGTGATGTGCTGCATAACCAGCAGAAAACACAGAATTTTTTAATATTCAGCAGAAATTGTTAGTAAGTGACTAAACTCAGGCTCAAGCCCATTTCCAATTTCACACGTTCATATATGCTGTATTATGTTTCATTTTGAGTCAGCCTTCATTTTGGCCCTCTACAATGTTACAGATATTATTTTTTCTACTCTATCACCCTTCACCATCTAATTCAAACCACTCTATAGAAAGATAGTGAGTTCTTTCTGACTGTCATTAGCTCTAGTCTGGAGAAATGACTGAAATATTTTTGTTTTTAACTATTGTCTATTTTTAAGGAAAGACTGATACCAGACCAAAAAATGTAGCTTGCTAAAAGTATAATTAATGCTTAGGCTAGACAGGATGTTTTAAAGTGAGACTTAGATTCACACAGTAGTGAGATTTTACTAACATTCTTCACAGTTTAATAAAATTGAAGAGAGCATTTACAGTTCTAAACTCCACATCAGCTGCAGAAGAATTATCAGAAGAAAACTAATAGGAGAACCTTACAAATAAGTACCTTCTTGTTACTTGCCTAGGCCAGTCACACCAGCAATCGGCATTAGACAGAAGACTTCTGAAAAATTTGTTGAAGAGCAACTTAAAGCAGACAATCATCTCATAGAGAAACAGCACAAGGAGCAACAGGTATTGTTGCCGTTGGTTCATTCACTTGGGTTTTGACAAATTCTCATGGACTTAGGTATTGTGTGGGTTCTGTTTTGGTGTGGTAACACATTTTCCACTATTCTTTCACATGATATTGGAAGACTTTTCCCCAAAGTAAAAAAACCCTGTATTACCCTGTCACAATCCTATTCCCCTACTGTTTCCCACTGGATTCTTTCCACATATTTTCTGGGTCATAGTTCATGCCTGAGTCTCAAGATACTTAGCTAAATTAGACATCAAAGTTGATTCTGCTATTTTTTTCCATAATAAATGGTCTCTCATGGGCTACTAATGTGACAATGAGTGCATTTCCAAATACAGTTTTTGTACCAGGGACAAATTCAGTAACACCGTTCTGCTTTTCGCTGTGCGTGCGGTTTGAGATGAGCTTATTCCTGACACCTCTAGGTGTCAGACTCAGCGTTTTGTTAGGCTCGGTGAGTTGGAAGATGCACATCTCAAGAATGTACATCACTCGAATTTTCTTTATGTCTCCCTGGCAAAAACATCTCAAACTGATGCATTTATATATTTCTGTGTCACTTGAACTTCCTTTGAAAATGAAGAAAGGCCGAACTTTTACCATCTTCTATCATGTAGCCATTTAACACCATCTTAACCCTTTTACTCTACTACTGAATGAATGGAGGCATCACATAGTGACTGCTTCTAAAAGTTCTCATGCCTTCCCCATAGTTTCAAGGCTATTTCTTATGTACTCAGTTACCCATAGCCAGTGTCTTTAAGACTTCTGATATCTCATCTTTTTCAATTATGGTGAATATCTTCCTTTCTGGAGAGTGATTCTCAGACTGTGATTCTCAGGATTTAATTTTTTTTTTTCCAGAGCAAGGCAAAAATAACATCTCTAAAGGTTTCTCTGAAACGAAAAGAAGTCATGGCAAGGTTCAAAAAAATTAAAGAGAAGACTGTAAAAGAAGACAGCAAGCATTCCAGAAGAGCTGGGTTGAATCACTGGGATAATTTCTTCCAGTCTGGCCAAGTGAACACAGGTATACTGCAGCTGGGGGAATGCCCTCAGTTAAATCTGCAGGTCAGTAACTCCATACGGAGGGATACACATGAAAAAAAAGCAGACCGTGCTTTAGCTGAGTGGGAGATAAAGACTGACTGTGAAGCAAAAGTAGTTGAGCGAAATGCAGAAGAAAAAGAAGTCTTTGGGGCAGACGAAGACTCAAAGGAAAATCCTGTTGACTCATCCCAGAGAAGATGGCCTGAAATCCTGCAACCATGTCCTGAAACAATGACAGGAATGAACCTACAAGTGGGTGAGGAAAGAGAAACTCATCATATGGATTCTCTAGGACAAGCAGGCAGAACTGATGGAAGACCTTTGGAGAGTACCCTGACAAAGGACCTAGGTAGGGTGGATCAGCCTGTGAAGGGTCACCTCATAGATGGAGCAAAAACCCCCTTGGAATTCCTGCAAAGGCATTATCCACTCCAGGATTTAGAAACAGATTGCATCAAGGAGGCAGAGTGCGGTGGAGGCCCTGCATTCACATGGGGTCAGAAGTGGGTTCAGGTATGCCCACAGGACCTTGTTTTGGGGAACCAGAACTCAGAAAGTGAAAGACAAATCCATACTGGGTTTAAGATGGTCAATGACAAGATAATAAAAATTACATGTCACTCACCTGAGGCTGCGGAGAAGGGAGGGTCATCCTCAGCTTTGCAGCAAAAGTGGCAAAGGAAAGGAACAGTTGCCTCGACGTGGCAAGTTGCGTCTTTGTCCTGTGAGTCAAACTGCTCATCTTGCAACAGTGACAATAATCCCAAATCTCACCATGTTCAGCATCCCTCCCAGCATGTGACTCAGAGAGTAGATCACACTGACAGACATTTGGATCTCTCTGATGGTCACTATGCTAGTGATGAGTCCAGTGGAACAGAAAAAATGTCTGCTAAAATGTACAGCAGATCACCACCAAGAAAACAAGGTCTTCAAGCAATCTCAGGACAGCAAAATCTCTCCTGCAGCACAAGCAGCAGTGATTCTAGTACTGGGACTGTCTGTCTGAAAGGGAGCAAGGCTCGCTCTTCTCTTCGGGAGTCCCCATTTCATCTTACAAGACTGAAAAGAAGAGAGCACAAGCCTGAATCAAAGAATGAGAATAGGGACAGTGGTGTTAAAAGCCTACATCTACCATCCTCGAGAGTGGCTCATGAGATTCCTATTTTCAAGATTAAGGAAATCCCTGAAGTGGAGGAACTACAGAAAAAACTGTTTACGGACACATTAGGTAAAAGCTACCCAAGTTTTTATTTACATTTATTTTTCACTGGGGAAGAAAATTTCTCTTGGATTTATGACTCATTCTGCCTGTACTCCCTTGATATATACCCTCCTTTGTTAGTATTTCTCAGATTTAAACTGGAAAAAAAAAAAAGAGAAAAGGGAGGAGATAAATCTGCAAGCCCCTTGCTTTGCTTAGCTCTTCATCATCACTAGTAATTTTTCCTAAGTCTGTTGTTTAAGGTGCACTTTCAGATAAAGACTTTTGATCTCATGAGATGGGTGAAAGGTTCGGTGAGTCCTTGAAGTCATTGCTAGAATTCTCTGTGGCGCTTAGGTATGACTGACTCCTTGACACTGAGATGTTCACATTCTTTATTTAATTTCCTCAGAGAAAACAATACATGATTTTTAAAAAAGTGGGCAAAATAATTTCTCAAATTTGCAGTTTTGCTCCTAAGATATGGAGAGCCTCGCATTGGTGGCAAATTATGATTTCCTAAGAACTTCTTCACTCAGTTTGCCCTGAATGTGGCCCTAGTTCTTTGGTCAACCAATATTTCTCGCTTTTTGGCCCAGTGATCTTACTTCTGGCAATGAAATTGCAACATGCTTAAGCAGGATTTAGTCCTTTTATTAAACAGTTTCTTGACTTCTCTCTTAGTTTCCACTGAAGGACTTCCCCCACATTGACTACTCATCCCAAACCCATTAGCTGTCTCTTTGTGTAGGATCAGTCAAAATCAGTTGTCCTGTCCTGAGTAATCGCCAGGGCAGAAATATTCACTTCTCATGGTTCTCAATTGCTCTGTCACAATTTAGTAAGCACACTCTACTCCGTGTCAGACTGATGTCAAAAGAGGGTTCCTGAGGCCTCTTTGAAGGTTACATTCAAACTAAAGTTGAACTATCATTGGCATTCACATTCCTGAAAAGGAATTCAGCTACTAACACTAATATATCCCAAATTTGTTTCACTTTCTTGATTTGTAGGGCTTGAGTTGCACTACTAAGAGATATGCTGGGAATGGAATACTTGCATAATTAAGCAAAGATACATTAATTCTTTTTGATAGATTAAGCAATAAAACTTACTGCACTTATGCAGTCTGTGGTTTTAAATACACAGAGAGGGTTCATAAATATTCACAAAGTTTTGTGTACTAACATAGATTTCTTTACAGAAGAAACCCAGAACATCCTTAGCAGAGGATTAGAGACTGGTAATAACAGTGGAACCCCTTCACTGACTGTGGTGAATGAAAATGATGAGAAAACAATGCATTTTCACAGGTAAATCTCTATACACTAGCAGTTGATTTGTGTGTGCAGTGAGACAAATATTTCTTTTACAGTCCTTAAAATCAAGCTGCTAAATTCTTGCTTATCAGTTGTCTTCTTTTCAAGGGCATCTGTATTGTTTCATAACTGAAACACTTATTTAGCTGTCTAGATTCATAGTAAAGCACCTAACTGAAGGAGGCCAGCTCTGAAATCACTGGTGCAGTTTGGGTCTTAAAGCCGAATAACTCCAAATGCTTTTCATAAGCTGATGAATATCTTCAGGTTACAGTGAAATCAGTAAGAACTCAAGATAATTTTTGAATGCTGAAAAGGTTTTAGTTTGTAGTTTGTTTGGTATTTGTTTACTTCTTCAGAGAAGAAAAATAAGTTCTTGCCACATAATCCCAGTGATAAATAATTTTTAAACTATGAGGTTTGCAATGCCAATTCCTCTAATAAAAATTGAGCTTGCTTACAATCAAATCAAATACATATTTTTAATGTGATGAAATCTGTTAGAAATTACTAGATACCATCTACTGTAAACACAGAAAAGATTCTTTTCCTCTTTACATTTCAAGCCTAGTTCTTAACTCGTATGAAATTAACATAATTTATTGATTTGGATTTTTTAATATATAATGCAAAGTAAGAAATTATTTTTCACATCTTCTTGTCCATTCCTCCTAATTTCAGAGACCATGGGATAAGTGCAAAAGGAAATAGAATTACATTTATCAGTATGTATCATTTCCTCCTATATCTGTCTTTAGCAAAATACTTTCAACGTCTTAAAAAAAAAAATGGTTTCGTTAAAGATCCTTCTTGCTTGTGACCTTGCAAACCTACTGGAAGATGACATCTGGCTGACTGTGATAGGTGTTCTGGATGTGAATATTTGCGAGATTTAGCATTTCATAGAACTGTTAATGAAACTAAGTGCTACTTTTACTTTTACCAGTGTAAATTTTGACTCTGGAGTGATGTACTGGTGCAGAATTACTGCAGTGCCAGACTCTGCCAGCACTGCATTCTTTGCCTGCTGACAGTGCTGCCTTACAGGTGAAATGACTTTGATTTTCTCATATTAATGCAGGTTTTTAAAAGAGCTTTCCATGGATTTATGCATGTCATTAGCCATAGTAGCCCCTAGCATTTCCACACAAATGTTTATCCAAGCCTAGTCAGCCTAGTACAACGTGTACATCTTTTCTTTTTTCTTTCTTTCTTTTTTTTTAATTTAAGAGAGAAAACTAATTGCAAAAGGCAGCTTATCCTCCCTGGCTATGTTGGCCCTGTGGTGATTTATGCAATCCCAAAATCTGCTTTGTATTTTTAAATCAGTAACCCTATCAGGAATCAGTTCCCTATTAGGAACACAAGATGACTGCAACATTGATAGCAGTTGACTTGTGCTGCGTTGACAACTTGTGCTCACTGGAAGCAATGAAAATCTTTTTGAGAGCAGCATGACATGCCTGAACCTGCCCAAACTATCCGTTCTTTTGTTTCCAAGTACTTTGTTTTCAGACCTTTTCAGGCAGAAATAACATGAGGAAGAGAGTAAAAACAGTTGGGATATAGCATGTTGTGTGTATCTGGTGTCTATTGGAGTCTGGACAGCACTCAAGGCATCAGCCCGTGGGGTCCACCCCTGCAGCACTGAAATAGCTGCTGATGGCGTTTGGCATCAGCCAGACTATTCAGTGATGGTTATTTTTTGTTCCTTCAACAAGGACAGCTTATTTGCCATTTTTAATGCACAATTTTCTTGTAGAATGGAATCGGGATGCTTTCTGGACCAACAACAGTAACCAACGTGATTGGTTTATTTTTTCCCACCTGCTTTTGACTGAAAAACTTTTTCTTGGAAAAAAAGGCTTTTGCTTAATGTGTGTTTCTGCCTCACAGACAACTTGCTGTGATGTGCCTCATGCAGAGGTGTGCCTGGGATGAAAGCAAGAATTTGAGTTTGCATAAAGTGTTTAGCCTTTTTTAATGTATTTTCTCTCTGTGTTCTGGACCTATCTCCTATTTACAATTTATAGCTGGGGTATGAACTGTTTGTCAGAACCTCCAAAGAAGTATTTTGAGTGCTCCTGGTGTTATTGGTTATTACATTACCTCAGGTCAGGATCTGTTTTCTAGCCTTGACTTAAAACTGCACTATTCAGTCTTCAGAGGAAAATGTTACACACGTATCTTGCTTTTCTTCTGGTACATTGTATTTCAGAGTTACTAGTCTGGATATGGAACAGTGGCAGGCTGGACATAATCACACAGGGGCTCTATTTGCTATTTTAATTGGATTAATTTGAGGGGAATTAATACTTCTATTGACTATTGCTGAGGCTTTCTTTAGCATGCCTTTAACTAGAATATCAGTCAGGCTTATTTAGAATAGAAAACAACAAAAAAAATTAGGTAATGCATTATAAAGAGCAGTAGGATATGGGGAGTTGTTTTTTCTCTTAGTATCTTTGAGAACTTTTGTATTTTGCTCCTGAGGTGTTAAACTGCATTAATGAGAGGGAAACATGAGGTCATGGCTGCCTCCTGTAATTTGCGTTGCTTTTCAAGTAATAGTGATGGACAGATGGTGGCTGTAGGTCATGAAGTGAGCTGGGAGCTCACTTTATTTGTTAGCAGGAAGATAACAAATGAGTTACAGAATCACAGAATATGCTGAGTTGGAAGGGACCCACGAGAATCATTAAGTCCAACTCTTAGCCCTGCACAGGAACATCCCTGAGAGTCACACCTTGTGCCTGAGAATATTATCCAAATTCTTCTTGACCTCTGTCGGGCTTGGTGCTGTGATCATTTCACTGGGGAGCCTGTTCCAGTGCCCAACCGCCCTCTGGGTGAAGAACCTTTTCCTAATATCCAATCTAAACCTCATCTGACACAACTTCAGGTCATTCCCTTGGGTCCTGTCACTGGTCACTACAGAGAAGAGATCAGTGTCTGCCCCTCCTCTTCCCCTCATGATGAAGTTGTAGGCTGCAATGAAGTCTCCGCTCAGTCTCCTCTTCTCCAGGCTGAACAGACCAAGTGACCTCATATTAAAAATGAACTAAGCAGTTAGATCAGTCATATAAACTCTGTTTGAGGATATGTAAAGATTTGTACTGTCCCCTCTTGTTGAGCTTTTAAGTGTACTTCCAGATCACTCATGCCTTGAGACAGTAAGTTCAAAGGCAAAATCTCTTCTGTGTGCTGAACTCCCACATTTAACTCTTGGAGTGTATTTACCTGTGGAAAGTGAAGTACCTTATCCCCTTTCATTCAGGTCCATGGCTAATCTGATTTGTAGTAATGACTGGGCTGCTGGAAATACAGCTTAGTCCCCAGCCTTGCATGATGCAGTGCTTCACACATGCAATGACAGGGAACAAGTTGTGCCTTCTGCAGGTCTTCCTTAATATCTGTCTGAATAGAAAATGTATTTAAAAGCCTCTAAGTTCATGGTCATTACGTTGTCAAAAATTTCAATTAGGATTGTTTCCAGCTGCTAAATAGAATAAATTTTATAGCTGAATGCATGCATGAGTGTTCCCAGTGAGGAAGTACCTTTGACAAGTGCTGATAACTTCTTACCACTTCCAGCAGTACCAGCATATAAGGGACATGCCCAAGCCCTCCAAAAATCATGCCCGAAGAAGGTACGTCTAATAACGTCCTTCATTACAGTCTTGTATGCCAGCTTCATACTCTTTGTTTACCTTCTGAACAGAACACGGATAGACCAGCCCAAGACTGTCAGGAGCCAGGAGCTGACTCACACCTTGGAACACAATAGAGATCAAACTCACTCACTGCAGAAAGGAAAAATTGCCCAGAGCAAGTTCAGAAGAACAGCTAGAGTCACTGAAGAAAATGTGAAATCAGAAGAAATACAAGTAAGCTGTCTTCTGTAAAATAAATATGCAATTTATATCAATTAGTATCCTTGCATTCAGACATCTTATGGTTGTAACTGAATCCTTCCATTTGCCCCACATGGCAAATTATTCATGCCACGTCTTGAGGACAGTTGTGTGTACAGTGAGGATTTTTGATGTTAATAGGACTTTTTTTGGTTTTTATTTTAAATGTACATCCCTTATTCTTTATATAAGAAAAAAAATAGGTTGTGCCTTCCATTTCTTAAGAAAGGCTGGGAGGTTTGCATGTTCCTTATACTTCCTTGTACTGATTTGCCCAGCTGAGCTGACTCTTGAAAGATTTCCAACTCCTACCATAGTGGGCTTTGCATCTTGTTGATATTAGGACCAATTGTGCCAAGTGCAACAGAGTTAATGGCCATCATTCTCTATTCTCATCCCTGAGGTGAGTGTTAATTTTTTTCCTTAAACTATCCTGATCTTTGACTTTGAGGTATTTTTGTGATATCTAGCTCTATGTCTAACAGTCTAACCTGCCTAATAACATCCCTGAATCATTTATTACAGTTTCTTCTAAGTTCCTTTAGGGGATTCTATCTGTTTGAATCCTCTGTTTCAGCCTTCCCAGTGATAAAGTCATCTCCAATTATCTGTGGCCATTCTCCCTATTAAAACCAGCTAGACATAATATGACTTAAGGGGCAATTTTCTAGGAGAGTCACTGATAAAGAGAGAAAAAAATGGTGAGCTATGTGAAACAAATAAAGGAGTTGGGGCAGCTAAAAGCTATATTTTTATAGGAGAGAACAGTAGGCAGTGGTAATGCTCAGAAATGTCTGGAACAATGTTCTGCTGCAAAAGGATGTCTAAACCAAACTGATATATTTGACAGCAAACTGACAACTTCAATTATTTTCTTAACCAGAAATGTTTCAGAACACTCTCAGGCACATAGTGTGACTCTTAGGGATGGTCCTGTTCAGGGCTAAGGGTTGGACTCGATGATCTTTGTGGGCCTCTTTCAATTCGGCATATTCTGTGATTCTGTGAACGATTAAAACTGCCAAGATAGTACTTTGTTCAAACTTTCTGTACCTTCTTTATTTTTCATTTGTACATTTTTGAAATACTTATTTTTGTACTATACACATAGTTAATGTTTTCTCTGCTTATGTTCCACATTTCTCTGGAAGTAACATTTACAACAGGAAAGGTTTCAGTGAGGTTATTTTAGTATTTTGAATAAAAATATTTTGAATGTCCTCTCCGCAAAATATTTTAAAATATCAGCTTTCTTTCCACTCGGGATTTAAAAAAAAATGGTAGCATTTCTGCCAGGGAATAACTGTGTTTCCTGACTAGGTCTAGCCCTAGGGATGAAGTCTGATAGAATTGTTTTAATCTTTTGTGCTGATCTGATAACATAATGAGTGTAGGTTCAAAAATTTAATTTTCCACAAAACAAACCCAAAACACTTTCTGAGTCACTTATCTGTGTGATTCTCAAGTTCTGAGTCTGCTGCTTCTTGGAAATGGCTGATGATGTGCCAAATTCAGAGCAGGGAGCTCACAACAAAGAAAGAATGGTGACTAGGAAGTAAATGGGCAGACACACAAGTGCAAGGGAAGCAGGAAAGGATTGCATATGAAAATTGGTTGACTGCAGGGCAAACTGCAAATTTCTATCTTGCCTCCGCCAATATTCCATTTACAATATCCAGCATGAGTGTCCTTAAGGAAGAGGACTCAGTGTTTGCATCAGCATGGGCAAGGGAAGAAAGGACGAGGGAAAATTGATGGAGATGGATTTATATGGAAAAGTCCTCTCCAAATTTCATTACTTTCATTTTCAACTCTCTTGAAAATTGTCTTTGCAATCCTCTGCTGTTTGTAAGAAGCATTTTAACTATACTTTGTCACCACATGAAGATCTGAACTGACATTTTTGTTATTAAAATATATCTTGTATTCTATCCTTTTTTGAAAGACATTTACATTTAATGATGATTGTTTGCATGATTAGTTTGTATTTCCTGTTTTTTTTTCACACAGCACAGACTTTTCTCAGCTCACTTTGTAACAATATAGGAGTTCAGAGGGCAGTGGGATTTTTTACTATTTTGGGGGGGTTTGTTTGTTTATTGGCTTTTATGAAATAATTTCAAATATATTCTTCTTTTTATTGCAGATCTTTATAGTGTACACCTTTAAGCAGAACAAAAGACTCCATGTTTCTTTCTGGATGTGTAAGGTGGGCATGCCTAGTTCAGAGCAGGCAATGAGATGGAACACATTTTTTTTTTACTGATAGGTACTAAAACAGCAGATTGCCGGACTGCAGGAGGAGTTCAAGAGAAGTGAGTCCTGCTGGCATGCTGCCTACAGCAAGCTGAGAGACCAGGTTGAGCTGCTGACCAGGCAGAACATGATGCTTCGAGATGAGCTCAGAATTTCAGAACATCAGAGATGGAAAGCAGAAAAAACCTCAAAAGCTGCGAATTTTTTGGACAGAAAATCAGATACCCCGGTACTGGAAGATATTATCTGCTTAATACTGTCTGAAAAAGAAAAATTCAGGAGTAGTTTTATTTTGGACCTGTCATGTGTGAATACTGGTCCTCCATTCCTCCCATGCTTAGCCTGAAGGGGGAAAGTCAGTTCTATAGTAAGCCATGTTAAAATATATGCTTTGTAAATATACTCCTTGTAATTTTTTTTTTCAGTATCCCCCTTGTTTAGCATACTTGTAGGGTTACTTGTTACCTTACTATATAACTGAATAACTTCTTGTAAGAGAGTTAAAGGAAGTTAAAGTTGCCCACTTCTTACACAGCAGACAGCAAGTCTTGGTGAAATTAAATGGTTCAGACTAGAATTCAAAAGACAGAAATTTGGTTTAAGTGGGTAATTTAATTTCCTTGTGTATTCAAGGGAGACAAATACATGCTTTGATGGATCACTCATCCTATGTGTGTCAAGGCAACTAGAACAAATAATTATCTTCTAGGTGGTACAGTCTGGTGAGATGAATCCTACTCTTCCACAGAATGGCTGAACCTAGAAGAAAATAAAATTGAGCTATTTACTACTAAGCTTTTCCCTAATTTTCAAATCTAATTTCTAGTAATGTATCTTCAAAAGATGTTAGAACCACCAATTAACCTGTCCTTTGCTTTATGGAGTGAACAAGTTTTGGGCTCTCTTTTTATTTGATTTTAATGTACTTGTTAATGAGATTTTTCACCTAACACTATTAAGATCCATTGAAAATGTCATTTGAAGAGATACTTCACTTTATTTTTAATTTTCCCAAACATACCTGCTCATATGACTCATCCTTTTATAGATTTCAAAGGTCAGAAAAAAAATAAGTCACAGGTACAGAATGAAAATATATAAAAATTCCAATAAAAGCAAGGATAAGAAAAAGCTAATTGATTTGTGTTGTAGGCCAGATTTCTGATTTATTTCTATTGCTTTTGGGTATTTGGTGATATAGGGCTTCTACTCAAGCCACTGAATACTTTTGTTGTGTGAGAATAACATTAGGATGCTGTCTATTAAGATGCTAGGATGGCATCTACAAAGATTTTTTCTGATACTGGAGAGTTTTGGTCCCTAACAGAACATCATGTGGAATTTCATTAATTGTGTTTAAATATCATAATTTTTCTTACAGCAGAAAGCCAGATGGCTTTGAATGTTGTTTTATTCTACTAGTTGTACCTTGAACTTAAAATTATATATTTATAACAAATTCTCCACTAGGTTGCAGAAGCTATTCTGCAAGGGACAGCATCTTCATCCAAACAGGAAGAAAGTTCATGGAGAGATAATCGCAAAAGCCGCAGCACCTCTCACATGGGGCTGAAGACATGTTTGCAAAGACACTTAATTAGAGATGTGAGTAGCAAAGTATGCATTCCTATTCCCGGCAGTCACTTTTCCACAGTTTCAAATATGTACTTAAGAGAATATTCTTTGGAATCCAAATTTCTGCAAATGGAAGGGTGTATAAGTATGTTCACATTTTCTTGCAGTCAGGTTGTGCTCTCATTCTACATAACTTTGTTTGCAGTTTTTCTTCTGATTTTGCATTAGGAAAAACATTTTTTTTCCTTTTCTAGAGAAAACTGAATTGCCTGTTGTTTTCAGCTATGCTCTGACTTCTTTGCACCTACTACTTTACAGACTTGTTTTACAAGTAATCTTTGTACCTTGCCTCAGCAAACCATAAATCTAGTATTTTGACATTCAAGGCTTTACTTGCCAATATGTACTAGTGGCCTCCCTGTTAATGTCAGTGGGAAAATTACTTAGCTTTTTACAAGTTATGACAAGTTAACTCAGTATGTCAAATGAGATGCTTGTTTCTGGCTGGTATGTTCATGACTGCTCCTCCACAGCCAGCTTTCCATATTTCTCACACGTCATTGTTTAGAATATAGATATTTAAATATCTCGTCATGCTTTTCTTTCTCTTGGCTTTGTATTTCTTGCTTCTATAATAAGCACCTTGATTATTACACAAAGCTCCTTTCTTAATTTTGCTCACATTTAGTTGAAATCTGTGCTTTATTCAAGTGAACAGTCACTCTGAAATTCCTCCTACCTACTGAAAATTTCCACTGGCTAAAGTAAAACTTAGATTGGCCAGCACACCCTGCACTCTGCCTGTCTAGGAACTGAAATAAAATGTAAAAGATGTCAGGTGAGAGGGGAGGCAACTATTCCACTGTAGTGAGCATGATAGCATGTGTTTTGGAAGTCACTAGACAGCTACTCTAGTGAATTCTATATGATGCCAGATATGAAAAGAGACAATGGTAAGAATAACTTTAAACTGAATATGCTTAAAAGATCAGAATCAGTCATGTGTGAAACAGTAGCTTCAAAGAGGATACCTGCCTTCAAGACTATTTCTAAGCAGTTATGTGTTGTTCATGAGTCAGAAAATAGAGGGTTTAGCTGCAAAAAATTGTTCCATGTGTTCTACACTGATGTCTACAGCTGGAATCTCTCCATTCTTCTGTGCTACGGTGGACAGAATTACTAGTTAAACAAATAATATTCAATATACCATCTTCAGTTACAGTAGCCAGTAAAGTAAAAAAACTATCTTTGGTAGCTTACTCTGGAAATTTTCAAAGCATGAAGGAGTTTGTTTCATCTGAACATCTCAAGAATTTTTGCAAAGTGAGTTAAAAACAGAAACATTTATTCTACATAGAGATTCCCTAAGATCCAGTGAGTTCGTTTTCCTCCTGTGGCACACAGCCACGTGCAATAAAATTATGGCTTCAGCAACAGTTTTGAGAAGGGGGAAGTTGAGGACAGCAGACTTTTGGGCTCGCTGTTATCTGAGCTTTCACCATCTAGCCAGCACTGGATCCAATCCAACTGGAATCCAGCACAACCATGAACTAGACTGGTAGGCATAGGGCCCAGATGTCCTGAGTGAACTCTAAAATGTTTGACAGAGACACATGCTCTTTATCTAATCTGATGGCACAAAAAGGCTTTAGACTGAATAGGGTGGCTGTTAATTACTTGAAGCCAGAATTTAAGGCTCAGGTAAATGGAATATTAAACAGAAGGCCAAAATCTGTGTCGTAGAGATAGATTTGAATGTGGTGACTCACTTGTATTTTCTTTGTATTTGAGCTGTTTTGATGGCAAGTGGATGCTTTTCCTCACAGATCCTGTAAATCTGGACAATTCTGAATTTTGGATAGATATGAAACAAATTATCATACTATTTCTGTCCAGGACTGAAAAACTGTGCATAGGAACATATAAAAGTGAATGGGAACATATCAAAGTGAATGAGATAACCTTGAGCAACAGAAGGGTGGTCAGGCATTGGAACAGACTGAACAGGGAAGTGGTGGAATCACCATCCTTGGCACTGTTCAAAAAACGTGTGTACTTTGGGACACGGTTTAGTGGCAGACCTGACAGTGCTGGGTTATTGGTTGGAACTGATGATCTTAGAGTCTTTTCCAACCTAAACAATTCTATGGTTCTAGGATTTGGAGAAGATATGCGTGCATATATAGTGGGTTTCTGTGGCTGGGTTTTGGTAAGGGGGGGAGGAGGGGGAGGGTACAGGGATGGTTTCTGTTAGAAGCTGCCAGAAGCTTCTCCTGTCCTGTGGAGCCAATGCCAGCCGGCTCCAGGACGGGCTTCCTGCTGCTGGCCAAGGCCAAGCCAGTCAGGAGTGATAGTAACGCCTCTGTGATAACGTATTTAAGAACAGAAATGTATCGCATGAAAAGGAGGGGATATGCCTGACTCCTAGAGTCGGGAGATTTTCTCAGCCCACAGAGATTTATTTGTCTGTTAGTGCCCCAGGGAAAATGAAATCACATATGTTTCACCCAGTCTGTCAGGTACCCTGCACAGGAGCCTTTCAACAAACAGATTCACAAGATCAGGGTAATTTGATTGCCCTTTTTCGGAGACTGCCATATAACAGTGTAAGGGAAAACCCCTCAGCAGGTCTTCCCACATGTTATTCTGCTGCTAGCAAACTGTCAGTATCTTATAAAGGACTCACACTAATAGTTTATGGAATAACACTCTTTATTAATACAAACTGTGACAAGTTAATAAGGTTCATGGTCGTCGGTGATATGGTCTATCTGCAAAAATGTATTTAAAGCAATCTAATAATACTATACAGCAAGCACAAGAACAAACTGTAATACAAAACAATATATTCTGGAGCAAAAGTGAGCTCTAGTCCTTAAAAGCAACAGTCAGCACACATAGAATAGTTACTCACCCAACAGGCATCCCTGAACGGGGGGGAGGGAAGACAGGTTTGACTTCTCAGCTGATCCCAGCAGTTTCAGTGGAAATCTTTCTCAGATTTCTCCTCATTTCCAACTTCCTTTTATACTATTTCTTTAGGTTTAGGTGGAGTTTGAGTGAATCTAGTCATAGGTCCTCAACTGGGTAGTTGTCCTTGGCATCTGTCTTCCTTGGTAGACAGATATGTCATGGCTGAAGTATCACCATGTTCCGCTTCCTGCAGGATGTTTGTGGAGGGAGGTCACAGTGCCTTCACATCACTCCCCTCTCCATTGCATTCTCTATACCATGTGTTTATCACTATTTGGGGAACCTTTGTGGAGCATCGTGACCATCATCCAGGAAGCAGCAGCTGGTTCTCCTCTGTAATTCTTATTCTCCTTTAACTTTTAACCCTGTCCATTATTCCATAGTGCAAAGCAAAATAAGACCCCAAGACAGAGTTATGTATAAAACATGTGTGTGTGTGTTTGTGTGTGTTTGCATGTGTCTCTGTGGGTATGCCCACATACACAAATAAATAATTTCCTGAAGTTTTAACTGCTTAGTGATGCACCTGTTGTATTGCTATATGAACCCGTCTATATTAACTTAATAAAAATATATTCAAACTTTTTAGGCAACAGATAGTTCTGTGCAAAGAGCTCATCCTTTGAGATCAGTGACAAAAGAACATCAAGAAAAGAAACCATCTAACTGCTCCATTGATAGAAGCACACCAACTAGCAGGAGAACACTTAATCAGGGAAAACTGACGCCTTTAGAACCAGAAAAAGTAAGTCAATAGCAAGATCTATTTAAACCGCCTTTATTTGCTTTTTATAGAATTGTTCAGAAGCTATATCAACACCTGATCCCCATACAGCTGCTGCTTGGTCTTCTTTCCCTGGAGCTGAAGGTTTTTTTGTCAGAAATTATCTTAGAGACTGTTCATACAGTCTCTCTGAGCTATTCAGATACCTGCAGGCCAGAGTGTGGGTGAATGCTTTGAAACCTGCCCCTCTTGCCTCAGAAAAAGTTCAGAGTTGATCACATGCACCAAGCATTGGGGCATTGTATGGGCCAGTGGCTCCCAGGAAGGCCAGGGGTTTGGACCATCAGGAGCTCATGGAATCCAACAGGGCAGTGCCCATCCCGCAGACGCAGACAGGAAGGAGGGCAGGCTGGGGATGGAAGTGTGAGTTAGACCAAAATCCCAATTGTCAAAACCTATAGTGATGAGACAGGTCTGGGGTCATGAAGGGAATTCATCCTGTGGGTCAGGGCTGGCATTTGGATCAATGAGGTGCATGGCCAGGTACAGACAACTGCAATGCAAACTAACATGGACCAAATGAAGTCCATGAGATGGACTTCCCAAACCAAGAGATGGGAAGCAGTGGGCAGGGTGGTGGGCATGGTATTGTCTGACACTTCTTCCAGTTCTTCCACCTTCCTTTCTCCACAATAGTCTGAACTAAGGTTAGACCCATGCACAATACCCAAACACAGACAGCTAAACTTCTAGGAAGGGGAAGTGCACTCTGGCCATGTCAGTGACAACTCCCATCTTACAGTGAAGCATGACTGTAGGCCAGGCCCTCTCTATTTTTCTTCAGGTTGTACATCAGCCCTCTCCTACTGGAGGAAAAACAGATAGTAGAAAATCACCTGGAGCTGTCTCACATGTAACTGGTCTTTTCAAGGAGCCTAACTCATCTTCCTGTGTAAAAGGTAAGATATGTGGAAACTTTCTACCTGCTTAAAATGGTCTGCAAATGACTTGGAGACGCTGGTCTTTAACTCTTGACTTGCAGAGGATGTTATCACTAAAACACTCCTATTATTCTTAGAAGAATTATCAAATTTGTATTTTACAAGAGGGGAGAGCAAACTGTGCTCTCAGCTGCTTACTTACTGAGTTTGTTTTCCTGGAAGTTTAAAGGCGGGAGAATGGATGTGGACTGCACTTCATTTTGGTCCAGGAAAAAGCACCTTTGGAAGGATGGAAAAATGTTAGCAAATATTATCAGTGTAAGAAGCAATGTGTTACCAGACTCTGAGACATCTTTAAAAAACCTGAGATAGGTATGAAAATGTGATTCAGCAATTTGCATATGCTTTCAATGACCCCTTTTACTTTGCTTTTTCTTACAGGCATGCCTTTGCCAGTTTCAGATAGCTCAGAAGACATGTCCCTCTCACATAACCATAGCAATGACACTTGCAGCTTTGTACCCTGCAATAACAACGAAGAAAGAGAGGTATTCCACCATGTAACTCTATAAAATAGAATTTCAGTTAGTCTGTGGTCTTAGTTTTCATATACAGCATGCTAGCTTCCATTCAGAAAAATACTCTCCTGGCTTTATTTTCTTTCATCTACTCATGATATAAGTACAGTCTTTAAAACAATATTGTAATGGCTTTCAAATAATAGATTAGATTTCTTTATCAATGTGGTCCTGCACAACTGTTGAATATTAATAGATTTATGTTGTTAGTTACCGTTTTAATTTTGTCTCTGGAAGAATAAACTCTTAAAAAGACAGAAAAGCTGCTAAAACCTCAGAATAAAGTGGCTTTAGTGACCACACACAGGAGAAGTGGCATAACTGCAGATAACAACAAAGTATTTACAGACAGTTGTGCTTTTCTGGATGCTGAAAAAAAGGTTTGAGCTACTTATGATTCTGGTTCTTCCATGATCAGCAAATGCCTTCTTTCCATTTCCAACAGAAATAAAACATACCAAGAAAGGAAAACACTCCATTCCCACTTTCTAGGCTATGCAGTGGACAGAGCATTAGGAATGTATCTCACATACACGCACGGTGTTTATAGCCATTTACTGAAGCATATCATTGCCCTGTGGGGAGCAGTATTCCCTATTCCTTTGGATCCTGTTATTCAAAATTTCACCACATCTTCAAAAGTAATTAACATCATCTGGTAGCTGCCCTGGATGCTATGTGCCAGATGCCGATTAACTTAAGGCTCCTTTATGCTGCCACACTGCAAAGAGCACTCATGGCAATGGTAAATCGGAATTGCAACATCCAGAATAGCCCCTACCTACATAGATAGCATTACCTAAGAGCTAAAGGCCACGTAATTTGTTTTGGAAGAGTGGCTCTAGCTTATATAGGTACCTTTCTTTGTAAATCAGTAACCCAATATTCAGAGATAGTTCTCCTCTCTGTTCTTGTGTTTATTTTCTCCATTTTGTACCGTGTAATTTTGCCAGAATGCACTCTTGTCACTTCATTTTTGGACTTCCTTTTTGCTACCTTTAGCTGTGCAAACTGAAGATAATTTGAGTTAATGTGCAAAATTTCTAGCTACAACTAAAACATAAAAATTCATTGCAAAGACAAGGCAATACCTAAAAGAAGGGCATCTTTCCTCTGCATGTGTGAAAGTAAACATGGGGTTTGCACTGTTGATTAAAATTAATGAAAATATTTTTAAAACATATATGTTTGTATAACACTGACTGTGATGTTTTCATAACATAGCCTCCAAAATTATCTGGAAGGTCAATGTTGAATCAAGAAAGAAGAAAGAGTGAGGAAGAGGTGCAGGAAAAAATAGAGTATTGTGATGGAAAGGTAAGAGAAAATAGGATTTTTGTTTTTTTTTTTTGGTTGGGAGGCATTCCCTTTTTGTGGATATTCTGATTGTTGGAACTAAATGGCAAAGCTATAGTGCATCTTCTGGTTGTCTTCTTTTTTGGACTTCAAATGAATTATATTGTAGGATTTGATATATGGTGAACAGAACCAGCTGCCATAGTAATACCAGGGAAACTGATTAACCAGAGGCTGTGCTGGGTATGAAACCTTCTCTGACCAGTGTATTGTCTGTAGAAGAGCACACTGGTGGCATTATTGTCTGCTGTTAAGAAGTTTTGAGCAATTTTTCAGCTTTCTGCATGCAGCCACAATTAATTCTGTAGTACTGAATGTCCATACAGGATTATTTGGAAAACAACGATTGTTAACTTATCTTGTCAGCACTCTGTGTTAATACAGCAATTAAATCGTTTTGGCTCACATAATCCAGAAGCAGGGTCTCTCAAGTCACCTGTGTGGAAGATGCACAAGCATATATGAAATGAGTCCAGACAATAATTCACTGAAGTTGGTCAAGGAAAAACCTGACTGGCATCCCTATTGCCACAGGGCTGCGTACCTTACCTCCCTTAACAGAAAAACAAGGCAATAGGGTGAGAATTTGGGATATGTGATGCAAGTAAGTTCATCTTGTGAAAAGAAAATTTCTTTTGGCTCCCTTTATACACAAATGAAAAAAAAAAATAAGGCCTGTTCTGCAGCGATAACTTCTGAAATATAAAGGCATAGAATTACTTACTTCAAACTCCAGTTTAATTGGAAGGCAGTGCAATGCTGCTCATTTCCTTTGACTTCAATTAGATGCTTTATGTGTTTGAAGGTAGAAGAGGTGCTTACCGATGGACGTGGAATCCTCACTTTCCGCAATGGTACTAGAAAAGAGATTAGTGTTGATAAAAGGACAACAACAATTAGCTTTTCCAATGGAGATGTAAAGAAGATCATGCCAGATCAGAGAGTGGTGTGTAACTTTTTTTTTCTTTGTGGAAAATAAAATGATTAATTGATTTTCCAACAAGGTCCTATCATTTATCTTGATCTATTAATTCTGAGAGAAGTTGATAAGGAAGGGTGTTGGTTTAACAACCCTGAGCAGTGAAACTTCTTCATCTACAAGGACAAAAGTGGAAAGGCACGAAGGTAACAGTCAAAGAAGGAAAAAAATATGTGGTTGGCCAAGCAGGAGACTGAACAAGGCAAGGGGCAGAAGCAGCTGTCTGAAGCAAGGACTTGTTTTTATTCATTTGTAGAGTAGCTAATTCCTCTTGGCATTATATAAATATAAGTAGTTAATAAGTATGTGAGCTAGAGTGGAAATAAGTGAGGCCTTGGTAGCAGTAGGGCTATTTTAAATTAATAGTTCATGGATGAGATCCAAAGCAAAGAAATAGGAGGATGACTTTCATGTATGCACTCTATCTCTGTATGCCACAGAGATGAAAATAGTGTCATCTAGACACAGTCATGAGGAGGAGAGTGAATGAGAGGAAGGAACAGCAATGTGAACACAGATACTTTTATGGATGGCAGATGCAGAAAACGACCTTGAAATGACTTTTTAAAGATGGCTTATTTTTAAGCACATTGTTATGGTTGAATCTGCTTATGCAAATATTGTGAACATACTGCTACCACTTCACTCTCCTTCCAGATTTATTATTATGCAGATGCACAGACAACCCACACTGCTTATCCAGATGGTCTGAAGGTGCTGCAGTTCCCTAATAATCAGATAGGTATGCAAGAGCTCATAAGCGTGAACGGTATGTGCAGATTTATTTCTACTATGAAAGTGTGGTCTGCGTTCTGACTCCAAGAGATTAAATATTTTCTTGCCATTTAACAGTGTCTTTGCATTTCACTTCCAGTATATTCCATCACTTCACTGCTCAGTTTCCTCCTACAGAGCAAGTATAGTAATGGAATATAAATGTAACTCTTCTAATTTTGATTATCTGTTTATGTGATTCTTTAATTTCTTTAGCTGTACTCTGCATATAATTTCCATCCTCACTGCGATATCCAAAAAAATCCTGACCTAGCTGTGTGTACAGAAGCATGAAAGAATACTAGATAGACTTCTTACATCTTCTTTTCCACAGAAAAACATTATCCTGATGGCACACAAGAAATTGTGTTCCCAGATCACACAGTGAAGTGCCTCTATAGTGACGGACTGAAGGAAACTTTTTTCCCAGATGGCACAGTAGTAAAAGTAGAAAAGTAAGTCTTGTATAAATGACAGGAACCAGGCATTGGACACACACCCAATGATACTGACATTTAGAACTGTGGCTGGGTTTGGCATAGCTAGGAAATTTCTAGATGAAAGGAGAAAGGATTTTTAAGATAGCAAAGGTTTTGCTACAATGTAGCACTGAAAACTGTTCACTTCCACCTTGAGTGATAGATGATCATTTGTCACTGGCAAAGTGACTGTGAAATATTCCTCATTTGGTTCCTTGTAACTTTACACTGGCCAGAGTTGCTGGGAGATCACCAGTTGTCTGTGTTAAAAATGTAGGTGCTAAAGGACTCACGGTGAGGGCTCCTAAGCTGTATTCTTACCCATTTGGCTCCCTTTCTAATCTCAGGCAAGGCATTTCATGTATTGTCTCTCTATTCCTCCATGCAACATGAGAAAAACAGGAATCTTTCATTTGTGCCTCTTCTGGGCTTCGAAAGGTTCCTGTTGTAAAATAGATTTTCTGCCTGCAAAAAGCCTTGAGATCCCTCCATGAAGTCATGTAAAACGCAAATCTCCCTTAGCTATTATACTATGTATTGAAATCTTTTTGTGAGATAAGATCTCTAATGCCATCCTGTGTTAATTCTGACATTATTTTCTGCTTTCTTTGAGTCACATTAGACAGCTCAGTGAGACAGGTTAACAAAGACAGTGCCTTCTCATCACTGCATTCATTGCTATTTCTTTCAGGAATGGAGATAAAATAGTGATATTCAGTAATGGCCAGAAGGAGATTCACACTGCACAGTTCAAGAGGCGGGAGTACCCAGATGGCACCGTGAAAACTGTGTACTGCAACGGCAGACGGGAAACCAAGTACTCCACTGGACGAGTTCAAATCAAAGATGAGGAGGGTAATCTCATCCTAGATAAGAAGTAATTCTTCCCCGCAAAGGGCTGCACTGTAGCTCAACCACTGTAGCAGGTCAGAACTGTTAGCAAGATTTAACTTGTGAAAAGGACTGGATGGATCTGTAAGGCTGAAAATTACTTTGGCTGAGTGACTGGCTTAGATTGGAATAACCTTACCTGAATGTAATGTCTCTTGAGTGAGACTTGAATGGGATGTGGTCATGTGCTCTTTGTGTATGCAACATTAAAATAAATGCCCACAGTACTTCTCATTGAAGTGTTTATTTTATGGTACTGATCACAATTTCCCTTGTTTTTCTGCCACTTAGTTGTGAAAGTGACTACAATTCTGGACCATGGCATAAGAGCCTCAAGCATACAGTTCAGTGCTGCCCTGCGCTGACTAGAGCAGATTGCTCAAAGCCCAATCCAACCTGGCCTTGAACACTTCCAGGGAAGCGAAGTTTTTGAAATCACTGAAACATTTCTCTTGAGGAGCTCAGCTCATTTACCTGCCCATTGATTGAGATGCCCAATTATCTCCTTATGCCCCCCAAATTCCTGTAACAACAAATACGTTTTCATAGCAATATTATAGAATTGCTCTACCTTCTCTTTAGTTTTCAGGGACTCAGACGATTAACAAATCACCATTCAAATTACAGAGTATCTATGAAAGAAAGAGCAAGGAGCATTGCTGATGTTGATCATACACATACTTCAGTTTATCAATTTAATTATGATGCTATGAGCATCCATGCAGTTTGATATCGACTGGTGTAATGATAAAATTGCATTGTTTTCTCTTTACTGCTGTGTAACTCTCCTTTTCAGCTTTTCACAGCATATTTTATTTGTTTTGTAAAAGGAAACTCTAATCAAAATAAATCCAAGATATCATTCTTTTCCATGTGTTTCACTAAGAATTTCAGTTTGTTCTTCCTTACGCTGAGCGAAACAAACATATGTTGATTTTTTTCTCAATTAGGCATCATAAAAAAGTGAATGTGGTTAATGTTTTCAGTTTGGCTGGGAAACTAAATATATGATACCAATGTTTTATAAAGCAACATTGTTTTTATTCCCATGAATTCCTCTAACAAAAGGTCCCTGTTCTCCAGTTAAAATGCTGACATTCTTTTTGTTTCTGTAATAATTTAGAAAACAGTCTTTGTTTGCAGCTTTTAGCTGGTGGGGAAGGTCATAATAACTGAAGTATTTGGTTATGTGAAAGGCACCTCTTTTAGGATGAAGTTGCTGCAACTGGTGACAGAAAAATTGGAGACAGGAAAACCAAAGGAGAAAGAGATCTGGGATAGAGGGATGACATGGACAGAAACACAGCTGTCTGCTGACCTGAGACAAGCTGGTGGACTTAGTGGTCAGTGGAGTATGAGGTGTGAAGATATGATGTGTAGATATAGCCAGTTTATAAGTTGATGTTATTTGCGGCAAGTGTTAAAGAATGCAGCATAAGAATAACATAAATCTTTAAAAGAAAAGATGTGTGTTGTCTGCAATCAGCTGAGCAACACCAGTTGCTCTTATCTTCTCATTCCACATGAGTGTGGTTTCATTGTAAAGCTATGGTACTAGGTCTTATCCACAGAAATAAAAATATGAGGACTTTAAGAGTTTGGTTTACATTTATTAAGACTTTATTAATTAAAACAATACACAACATTTAGTTAGTCATCTGCATGAAAGGGTGAAGTCAGACAGTCTTCCCTTATAAAGCTGAGACGTCAAAAGAGATTTTTACTTTTAAGACATTTGTATTATATTGGCCTTGAAATCTGTTCCATTACCATCTTTCTGGAGGTAATACATATTGGAATGCCCTTGGAGACATAGGAACTGGCCAGTTTGTTTACTTTGCCTCTATCACTTTGCCCCTGTTGGATTACATGTGTGTTTCTTGGGTCAGGGGTCCTCCACTTTCCTTCTTTGTAGCAGTAGGTGTCCCAGGGGAGCTCTTAGCCTCAAGGCATTCAACTGCTCCATATGTCACCATAGACAACACAAGCACAGACAATAAAATGTACAGTTTGATGTAAACTTGCAATTTGGTGCTATAACCAAAGGCGATGACAAATCCAAGTGACTCCCAGAGACGGTAATTTGCAAAGGCAGCCTCCTTGTGTTTCTCAAATAAAATGCCATAGAGTCCTGGAAGGAAGGAAGGAAGGACATGGCTTGTGAAGATTAAGCCTGCTACCATGTATTTTCTGCGAAGGGAATAAATAGATTGCAATGGGGAAGACAGACCCTCCCTCATACCTGTCAGAGAAAGGAAAATACAAACTTTGTCTTAAAATTTTTTGTGCCTCTGTGAATTATTATAAGTGAAATAATAGAGCCAACCAGACAAAATAGAGAATATCAGATAAAAGGGAATGAAAACATGAGGAAGGAAGGATGGGCTCTATTGAAGTGAGATGCCAGGAAGTTTATTTTTCAAAATATAAGCCACAAAAATGAAGGTTCTTGCACTGATGAACAAGTAAGTAAGGAGGAAGAGGAGATGTCCAGAACTGGTTTTTGACATTGTAGGGTCCCCATGTATAACTATTGAGAAAATCATACCAAGTCCTTGCAGGCTTTCACAGAACAGGCAGTTTTGACTAGGGACAACATGGTTCTCAGGGACTAAGATGCTCCCATACGTCACCAGTTTTGGGAAGAACTTGATTGTACCCTGCATGCACTGTTGACTTTTCTTCAAACTATTTCTTTCGCCTGCCTGAGAACATGCAGAGACTGTTTGTGTAAAATGCATGGCCCTTGTTTTCACCAGAACTCAGCCTCAGGGAGCCCCCAGGTGAGGCTCACACAGTGTCGCCAGTGGTGATAATGTCTTCTATTCATATGTGCCAAGTTGAGAGAAATAAACTGACCCAAAACACTTAAATCAGAAAGCTGAGAAAACTGCTACAATTGGGCTTGAATTTAGTATGCAGGGAAGATTTGCACCTCTGAGATAACCAGGTTTTCAGCTCCTGGATGGTTTGGCAAATAGAATATCCTCGATGCACACAGAACCCCTGGGTAGCAGCTGGAAAACTTGCTTGACATAGAGACTTAGTTAAACAGATCATTCTAATGCAGTTATGTTCACTGGGAAGATCCCACTGACTTTGATCAGTAGCACACCCACAAGTGGGAGTCAGGGTAGGATTCCCAGTCTCCAGGTCTGACTAGTGGAGCAGATAGGAAAGGGGGGAGACCTTGCTTTCCTCTGGGTGCTGAGCTAGCATCAGTTGTGATAAAGAAGGGGGCATTTCCTCTGACTCAACTATGGTGTGCAGGGAGGGAAGATAGGAATATCATGAACCTTGACTCTTCTCATCCACTTCTCTAACATCATATCTGTTTGAAATATGTACATTTAGCCAAAAGGCACAGAGGAGTACAAAGTTCTCTTAAAGTCTGGGTAGACTCAACTATCCCTTCAGTTTTGTTAGGTAGGGGGAGACTTCATTGGTATGTAAAAACCTACTGAATCCTGATGACTTCAAGGGGACATTTACTGAACTCTTTCAATTTACACATGATGGAAAATCTGGATAAGTCCATCACAAGTCCATCCCTTGCTATTTTGAAGCCTTCTTTTTCAACCAAAACAATGGGAGAATTGAGTGAGGATCTAGTCCAAAGTTCAGCTATAGGAAGGGCTGACCTGGCCGGGAAGTCCTCATTTTCAGGATACACATGTGCTCTTAGCTAGCAGTTACATAGGAGCACAATGGTGGTTTTGCCCCAAACCTAAATATTTGTCCTCGTCACAAACACTGTCAAGTGCAGTGTGGTGCAAATTGCCTGGCTGAAACTTCACCAGGACCTGCTGGGCTGGCTGAGTAGAGAGGCTGATAGGTCTGCATTTTTACAGTTCACTTCCATGGCAATTATCCTGCTTGTTTACCACTGCTCGTTTTCCTACTCCTTCCCCCAGTTGTAGTAGGCATGTGTACACGACAGGACTGCTGAAAATTATTTGAGCCCAGGTTTATAAACTCTTTAGACTCATTCATATCCTTTCTGAAGATGCACATCAGCCTGTAAAGAACTTGATTTTACTGTAATCTACCTGACAGCTCTGTGCTACACAATTGTTATACCAGAAGTGAAATTGTCAATGGGTAATAACAGCATCTATGCTCAAGTTAAACAAGAAAGGGCACTACATGCTCTGAAATGAAGCAGCTTTTATTGGAAATAAATTAGAGTGTCCATACATGAATGAAAACATGTTAGGAAGCCTTTATAAGGTGAAGTGATTCATCCACCATAAGCCTACGTATCCTCTAGGGGGTACTCGAGTATTAACTATTCACAGCAGCACAAAGTGAGCCATCTTTGATTACCACAGAATGCCTTAAGAATGTGGCACAATGCCATTGCATGTATTCACTGGTTAATCTATTGAAGCCCTATCAGCAGTCACGGGAGCTTACCAAGGGAAATACCACAGACTCTAGTCAGCAATGCTGTTTTGGAGGTCTTATGACCTTTGATGATGGGAATTTCTCATGTGATGTATATCTGTATAAAACTGATGAAGGGGAGAAGACATCTAGCCCCAAGTGGATATGTCAAACAAAAGATCCTGTTCTAGGATGCAGCATTGTGAGTTAATGTCACTGCACCTCTCTGTTAAGGTTTCATGTTATCACTCAGCATTTCATTGTGACAATGTGACAAAGCAAACTTTGTACAATTTTATAACTGGGAGCTGTGAAACAGCTGAATAAGGTACTAACAAAAAAAAAAAAAAAGACATTATGCAAGGAAAAGGAACATATGGGGTTTTTTCCAAGCTAAAACACAGGTGAAATTTTCACTAGTATCCTGTAGGAATCTAGGAATGGACATGACCTGTTACAGTGCAGTAATAGAGCGTATGTCTTGTCACATAGCTCCAGAGCTCACTCACCATTAAATAAGCATGAAACTGCCTATGTCTCATGTGGGGGTTTGGAAACTACAACCACTTCCCAAACACCTTCTCTAATACTTAGGTCCTCTGTACCTACCCCTTTTTTTCCTAATGAGGGCTTCAGGTACATCTTTATCAGGTGTGCAGGGACCTTACTGAGGAGATGTCCTTACTGAGGACATCTCAAATGTGTGTAAATCCTTGAAGAGAGGGTACAAAGATGATGGAGTCCAGCTCTTTTCACTGATGTCCAAGAAAAATGGACAAGAGGCGATGGGCACAAACTGAAATACCAGAGGTTTCCTCTGAACATAGGAAAATCATTTTACTTTGATGGTGAGCACTGGCACAGACTGTCCAGAGAGATTGTGGAGTCTCTCTCCATGGAAATAACCAAAAGCTGTCTGGACATGATCCTAAGTAAGTGGCTGTGCCTGGGTGGCCCTGCATGAGTAATGGGTTTGGAC